CTGAAAATGTCAAATCAAGTTCAACTCATCACACACGGAAACCCTGCAGGAAAAAACACAATACGATACCTTTTAGGAATTCATAGGACTATGAGGCAAATCCATCCATCCATTTTCCGATCCGCTTATCCTCACAGGGGTCGCGGGGGGTGCTGGAGCCTATCCCAGCCGTCTTCAGGTAGTAGACAGGGGGGACACCTTGAACCGGTTGCCAGCCAATCGCAGGGCACACAGAGACCAACCACCATTCGCGCCCACGCTCACACCTACGGACAATTTGGAGTGTTCGATCAGCCTGCCGTGCATGTTTTCGGAATGTGGGAGGAAAGCGGAATACCCGGAGAAAACCCACGCAGGCCTGGGGAGAACATGCAAACTCCACACAGGGAGGCCGCAGCTGGAATTGAACCCGGTAACTGTGCACTGTTAAGTTGCCGTGCTAACCACTGGACCACCGCGCCGCCCTATGAGGCAAATCTATCTTTTATTAGTGTTTGATTTGAAAGTCAAAATAGGATTTATGAAGCAACATTTTGCAATGATATCGCCAAAGGACATCTTGCTTTTTATCCTTTGAACTCAATCAGTGCCGGCCATTTTTGGACCCTTATTTACCCCACCACGTGAAATAAAAAATGGTCAAAAAAATAATTATAAAAAAAGGAAGTACCTGGGATTGATTGCTTGGATTCTTAAAAAAAAAAAAAAAACATGGAAAAACTCTCCGTGGCATTGAATGTGTTTGCGATGCCTTTTTGATAACCTCGTGAGTTGCTGATGGCCAATATCAGCAGCGCTCTGCTTTGCGTCTCGATGCCTTTTTCGATGTGCAATAAAGCAAATCAACGGCTCACAAATTATATCCGGCTACATGAAAAACGAGCCTGCCCAAAGAAGATTGATTGACACTACGCACACGTTTTCCACATAGCCACTGTGATGTATTATAATAGCCCAGTCCGTTAGCAAAAGTTAATGCTAAGATGCTAATTCAAGGTAAGACAAAGGGCAAACTGTTTATATGTGAAAAGTGAATGGCAACAAAATGAAAACTCCCCTCGTATATGTATTTTTTTTTAATGCTTTACATCAATACTGTCATTGGCGACGAAGGCAAAGAAGTTGACATTAAACGTTTTTTTTTTTTTTTTAACCTAAACGCTCAGTCAGCCTGCGCATCTGTTCCTATCCCGCGAGAACAGACGACAATATACTTCCAACTTTGATAATGACTACGAGGCTCGTTATTAATTACTCCCGGAATCTGCTTTCTTGGACAATTTTGGGAGTTATTTACGAGACAGATGCGCGCATCTGCGACGTGATGACAGCTATATTTATGAACAACCTTTACGAGCTTTTGTTGACAAACACGTGAATAATGGAACACCTTTTTTTCTTCCAAATATGCACAGACCTTGTTTTTTTTTGGGCGGTGGGGGGATTTGTATCGATTTTAAAACCTCATGACTACACGCGCACAATCGCTTTGGAGCAAATTAGCAAGGCAGTCAGCGGTCTGGGAGAGGGCGTGATCCGTGTGAACATTCTTAATGTGCAACAAATTGGATCTTTCTCTCCGCTCGCGTCAGCTGATGGCGGTTTTGAAGTGTCGTGTTCGAGCAACGGGAGGTAATTAAGCATCTTGATACCCGCCCGGCACTAGAAACATCTCGGCTCTCATCTCAAAGTGGACCTCAGTTTCTAAAAAAAATAAAATAAATGTCATGTTGTATCAACTGACGCTAATTTAGCCAACGATCAATCCCGCCCAATCGACGGAATGCTCAACGGTCAAATCATCCCGACCGTCTGCTACGATCCCCTTTGCCAAGCTGGTGGGGCGCCGATCAGTAAACGAGTCATGCTGAAATGATTGCTCGTGTTGCATACCAGCGAGTCAAATATAAAAAAAAAAAAAGGTCAGCTAACTCCTCCAGGGGTGAGCGGTGGTTCTCTTTCATCCACCACGAGGCCTCAAGGACAAACACGGCAGAAGAGCTGTTGTCACACAGCAGCGAAAATGGAGCCCGAGTAAAACAACGGTCTCGGTTTAACTCGAAAAATCAACGGGGGGATTGGAGAGGAATGAGGAAAGGAGCTGTGGGAGGCAGGAAGAACGGAAAGCCAGGGTGGATTGACACAGCAGGGCTCATCCTATTTTAGGCTCCCACCTGCAGCCTCATCTGGACGCGACCCATGGAAAAGTCCTGCAAAAACCTGCTCCCAACGTATACCGTATTTTCCTCACTATAAGGCCCATTCCATTTTCCCAAAAGCCAACAGTGCGCCGTATATTCCGATGCGTCTTATATGTGGTGTCACAGTCTCTTTATATTCCTCTTTGAGTTGTTAACCTGTTCGTCTGAGATCAAATTTGCTACAGTGAAAAACCCACTGTTGTGAAAAATGTCTTGCTACAAACATGATTTCGTTGTAGAGGAGTTTCACTGTATTCCCTTTGGCGTAGCTCCATCTAGTGGATGCATAGCGCAACCGCAGTCACTATTGTAGCTTCGATTCTATGCGGCGCGTCCTGTACATGAAAACAGTTTAAATTAAAAGGTAATTCATTGAAGGTGCCCCTTATAATCCGGTGCGCCTTATAGTGCAGAAAATACGGTCATTTGTCAAAACTGCTGGGTGACACAGACAAAAGTGGGGGGAAATTAAAACCGTCTTGCGAAGGGCTCACTCTAATAGCAAGTCATATTAACTCAACACTGGGCAGGAGGATGTCTCCCTTGACAGGTGACGGCGCTCGGCTTTGGCTTGTTCACGGGGATTGCGCGGTGGCGACTGTGTCAGCCGTGTCTCCGGTGCGCGTGGAGGTGTAAATGAGGGTGGGTTGTTATCACGAGCTGTCATGTCCCCCACGCTTCATTAGGGCGAAAGAACAGATGAGGCGGGGATGAAGATCTTGTCGCCCGTCGTCGTTGCATGCGCGCACGTCCGCGTGAACAGAAGCCGAGTGCCAAACCGCCGCCGTGTGCTGCGGTCGTGTACGTTTGGAAGCAAGTCGTGGATTCGTTCGTTTGACTTTACAGCTGGAAAAACAGGCTCGGTTATCTGTTGTATGTTCGTCTACAGCACAGGTGTCTCCGGTCCTTGAGGGGGCGCTATTCCTGCATTTCTTTCTTTTTTTTTTTCTTTTTTTAATTCAAATAATCAGCTCATCGACAAGCTCTGTGGAAGCCCGTTTACGATCCTGATCATTTGAATTGTGTGTGGTGGAAGAGGGAAACATCTAAAGCATGCACAATGGCAGCCCTCGAGGACCAGAGTTTGACACCTGTGCTTGACCTTGTGATCACTTCGCCGACAATAAGTTGAAATGGAAGAAAATGTTGTCGGTACTTTTGTCTGTTGTGTAACTGCAGAACTTAATGTTTTTCGAGAACTCAACAAGGCTAGTCTTAAAGCATTAGGCTGGAATTGTTACATAATTTTAGTTTGAAAGTAGCCACTTTGAAAAACCTGCGGAAAGTGCTTCTCCACATCGACAGGGTGTCTTTGCTCATTTTGCTTAAGTTTCCATTTAAAAAAAAAAGAAAGAATTCAAAATAACTTTTGTTGCCAAGAGTGGAACATGAGATCATTCTGAGCCGAGAAGTGGGAAAAAAAAAAAAAAACAACTTGTGAGACAGATGGCAGGTTGATGGAGGCATCCCTGTACTGGGTGGGTGGGCTGCGCCTACAGCAGATGACCTCTGGAGACGTCTGTGATCACCGAGTGTCAAGCTGACACTGGCTCTAGTTTTTAAAAGCGCCCGCATTCATACACGTGCACGCAAACAAGTGCAGCGCGGTGTGAAGTTAGCATTTTGCAGATTTAACACAAACACATTTTGGAGTCTTTAACCCTTTCGGGGGACCGCGGTCACTACAGTGGGCAGCTTCTCATGTTATCACATTACAGGGTGCTTGAAAGGGTTTAACCAACCATTTCATCTTTTTTTTTTTTTCAACTGCTTACACACTGCAATTTGGGGTCATTTTTTTTTTTTTTCAACTGCTTATCCAATTTGGGGTCACGGGTAAGCATACACACATATAAAATATGTACCAACCCATTTCCACCGTACAAGCCTGTTTACCATTGAAAGTGATTCTGCCGTTACACGATATTGTTGCTTTTAGGGATCCATATGAACATATGGGCCGATGCACACCATTTCTCTTTATTTTTGCCACTACTCCGTCCCGCAACACACACACACACACACACACACACACACACACACACACACACACACGCACTCGCATGCCGAGCCGGCCGTGTGGTGGAAGCAGGTGTCGCTCTCAGCTCATTACCCCTGGCAGGGCTGATCGCCCTGTTTGGTGAGCAATAAGACACACCTCAGTGGAGAGAGGAGCGGGTGAGGGTGGGAAGGAGCCTCCCCCCCACCCCCTTGCATTTTTTTTCCAGACAGACGGATTGAGCAATGCGCAGGGAGGTTGCAGGCAGAAGTGGATGTGAGCATGTTGTTGGTAGATTGGAGAAGTCGGATGAGCGGAGTGGCGCGAGTGAAATCCAACGGGAGGCGGAGAGCATCCCCCCCTCCCCCTCTCCCGAGAGGAGGATCCATTTCACTCCGTCGTCCTTTCAAGAAGGGGTTATGCGCAGCGAAATGGTCTTAGCTAGCTCCTCTTGATTGGGGGTCGTTGGAAGATGAAGGTTAGCACTTCTTCCCCCGTGGAGATAGCGATTGCGTGGTCAGACCCTCGTTGATTTTCTCCAGGTTTCATTCTCATATTCCCAAAATCATGTTTGAAGACCTTGGAATAATAATTGCAGATCAAATAGTGATTGCCATATTGAGGGGGTTGGGGGAATTGCATTTACCGTAGATTGTTTTTCAAAATCATTCAGCCCTATGACCATACCAGGGGGTACGCCGCCTCTCACCCAAAGTCAATTGATTCTTACGATTCTTTTTTTTGGGGGGGCGGGGAACACACTCCGCCTAACATCACTCCAATGTGTTGTCTTTCTGCAGGTATGACTACAAAGAGATGCTCCACAACTCCACCTTCTGCCTGGTCCCCCGAGGCAGGAGGTTGGGCTCCTTTCGCTTTCTGGAGGCCCTGCAGGTAATAACTCTCACACGCACTCGCTCAAGCGCCATTAATGCTCGGGAGAAAGCGTGCCCGCAAGCGACATTAATAACAATCTTTCCTTTTCGGTTGTTCCACATTTGAAAGCTTGGTAATTGTCGCTTCACGTTGATGGATGAGCTAATAGGAGGGGAAAAAAAAATGAAAAACACCTATTAATTACGAATCTAACACGATTACCAGCTTATACAAACTTTTCATTCCCACTTTGCACGATGTTAGCGTTGTTATTGAGCTTCTTGGCCCGCTCTCTGCTTTTTGTTTCGTTTTGGGTTGTTTTTGGTACGGTGACCCAGAAATGCAAACCACAGCTGCTCGACATAACATTGGAGTTACTGTATGCGCTCCCTCCAGTTAGGAGGCAAATCATCAGCAGTATTTTGGACCAACTGGAAATGCTTGAGGGAGGACCGGCTGACTCCAGAATAGAGTACGTGACAGTCATCCAGGCGAGATGTAACGACGGCATGGATGACTGTTTCTCAGGGCTGTTGTGGAAGGAGAGGCTTTACTTTAGCCAGCCGATTTGAAAAAGATTTTTTTTTTTTTTAAATGGGTGATGAAAATGACATGAACATAACAATATGGTGCCTTATTCCAAATGACCTTCCTTTT